ATAGTATTTTAGATGAAAAAAAATGACATTTAATTTTTTTCTTACATGCACTGATGATAGTCAGTTTGGATGGGGGGCTTTTATCCATTTCTGAAGTCACGCAATCAACCAGTAGCTGAACTGGGTTCCACACACTCACAAAAACAAGTCACAAAAATGAAGTCACAAGCCAGTCCCATAAAATGAAGAACAAGTCACAGTCAAAAAAACCGAAAAAGCCACACAAACCCAAAACACGGAAAGGAACCAGACAATGAAAAGCGACCCCTAAAACAGCAATTTTACATGAATTTTACTATCTAACGAGGCCATCGATCCATAAAATGAAATCAATAAAACAGTACAAAATGAAAATGTGATTTTCTTCTTATTAAATTTGTATACCACCCTCCATCTGAAGATCTCAGGGCGGTTCAAAGCCTATCTGCTGTCTTATGGTGCCTGAAACAGCCCTTATTTTTAGTACCCACAACTGTTACAGTGGTACCTTGGTTCTCAAACTTAATCCATTCCAGAAGTCCGTTCCAAAACCAAAGCGTTCCAAAACCAAGGCGCGCTTTCCATAGAAAGTAATGCAAAACGGTTTCATCCATTCCAGACTTTTAAAAACAACCCCTAAAACAGCAATTAAACATGAATTTTGCTATCCAACAAGACCAAGGATCCATAAAATGAAAGCAATAATGTACTGCAGTCACATAATCAATCAATCAATCAGTAGCTGAACTGGGTTCCACACAGTCACAAAAACATAATGAAAAAGAGCTGCCAAAATAAATAGCAAAAACAGTGTTAACACTCAAAATGGAAGTGTGGCACTCAAATCGGAAGCGTAACACTCAAAAAGGAGCACATTTGGCTTCTGGAAAAAGTTCGCAAACCGAAACACTTACTTCCAGGTTTGCAGTGTTTGGGTTCCAAGTTGTTTGAGTACCAAGGTGTTTGAGAACCAAGGTACCACTGTACTTAGATATATAGTAGGATGACCCTCCTGGAACAAATGCAGGGAGACTTGGAGCCAATTCTCATGTTCCAGAAAAGCACATGAGAAGCACTTTAGACTGCAAGTGTGCATATGAAAATAGGAATGTCCTATTTAATAATAATAATAATAATAATAATAATAATAATAATAATAATAATACTCCGCCCATCTGACTGGCTTGCCCCAGCCGCTCTGGGCAACTTCCAACAAATTATAAAAACATAATACAGTCATACCTCGGGATGAATACGCTTCAGATTAAATATTTTCAGGTTGCATTGCGCGGCGACTCGGAAGTAACGGCGCGCGTTACTTCCGGGTTTCGCTGCTCGCGCATGCGCAGACGCTCAGAATGACCTCACACGCAGACGGCAGTTGCGTCTTACATTCGCTTCAGGATGCGAATGGGGCTCTGGAACGGATCCCGTTCACATCCAGAGGTACCACTGTAAAACATTGAACAAAAAAAAACTTCCTTATTCAGGGCTGGCTTCAAATGTCTTCTGATGGTGGTACAGTCTTCCTCAGGAGGTGGTGAGCTCCTTCCTTCCTTGGAGGTTTTCAAGCAGAGGTTGGATGGCCATCTGTCAGGGATGCTTCAGTTGAGATTCCTGCATTGCAGAGGGTTGGACTAGATAACTCTAGAGGTCCCTTTCAGCTCTGATTCTAAGAAACAGTTTTGAGACAGAACTGAGCAACCACCATCTTTACCCACAAGGGGGAGCTCTTTGCAAATGCAGGCGGCCAAAAAACCAAAGCAAAGGTTTTGTTTTTTTTGCAATTCTTGCTTACAATATTTCAGTGGCTTTGGGGATAGTGAATCTCCCAATGTTGCTATTCATTACTGATTTATTCCATAAAATTTATACACAGTGTGGTTGTTAAAAAGCAGGCGTCCCAGTTTACAGCCTCCAAAAGTTGTACAGTATGATATACCACCTTCCCCACCACCACCCAACTTTGCTCAAGGTGGCCCGCATAATTCCCCTCCTCCCCATTTTATCCTCTCTTTCTTATATATATATAATTTTTTATTAGATTTTCCACAATAACAAAAACCACAAAGCAGAATGATACACAAAAACAGAAAAAGAGAAGGGGAAAAAAGGAACAATAAACAAATAAACAGTGACAACAAACTTAATTCTTCACAAATCCAACCTTTTAACCATCTTGGTTGACTTCCTCAAGTCCCTCCCTTCTGAGTTTCCTTGTAGTTAAAAGTAACAGCTTTCCAATATCTTTATTAAACCAAAACAATTTCCAATTATAGTCTATCTTATTCACTTTTCGTAACATTCTAAATCCCATTTATTTAATTATAACTTAGTTAAATCCTGGGACGCGGGTGGCGCTGTGGGTAAAAGCGTCAGCGCCTAGGGCTTGCCGATCGAAAGGTCGGCGGTTCGAATCCCCGCGGCGGGGTGCGCTCCCGTTGCTCGGTCCCAGCGCCTGCCAACCTAGCAGTTCGAAAGCACCCCCGGGTGCAAGTAGATAAATAGGGACCGCTTACTGGCGGGAAGGTAAATGGCGTTTCCGCGTGCGGCTCTGGCTCGCCAGAGCAGCGATGTCACGCTGGCCACGTGACCCGGAAGTGTCTCCGGACAGCGCTGGCCCTCGGCCTCTTAAGTGAGATGGGCGCACAACCCTAGAGTCTGTCAAGACTGGCCCGTACGGGCAGGGGTACCTTTACCTTTACCTTAATCCTAGGCCTATTTGTTTTCTTTCAAGTAATTTCTAATTTTTTATATTACAATATTTATTCAAAGAGTCCTTAAATTTCCTCCAGTCCTCTTGAAACTCCTCTTCTTTCTGGTCGCGAATTCCCATTTTATCCTCTCAACAACCCTGTTAATTAGGTTAGGCTGAGAGGCAGCGGCTGGCTCAAGGTCACCCATGGCTGAGTGGTGGATTCGAACCCGGGTCTCCCAGGTCATGTGCTCTAACCACTACACCCCCACTGCCTCTGCAGTGTGATGCTGAAGATGTAGCGCTCTACCCTGGCCTTTGATGGCCAAGACAGGTGTTTCTGCGATACACCCCTTTCCCCGTGGTTTGTCTTTTAGATGAACAGTTTTTCAATACGTACCGAGTTTTAAATTGGTGTAAATCTGTCCTGGGACCTGATGTTGAAGAAGGGCAGGTAATAAACGAATCAACAGGAAAGCTCACTTGGTTAGAGCGTGGTGCTGATAACGCCAAGGTTGCAGGTTGAATCCCCGTTTGGGACATCCGAATATTCCTGCATTGCAAGGGGTTGGAATAGATGATTCTTGTTGTTGTTGTTTAGTCGTTTAGTCGTGTCCGACTCTTCGTGACCCCCTGGACCAGAGCACGCCAGGCACTCCTGTCTTCCACTGCCTCCCGCAGTTTGGTCAAACTCATGCTGGTAGCTTCGAGAATACTGTCCAACCATCTCGTCCTCCATTGTCCCCTTCTTCTCGTGCCCTCCATCTTTCCCAGCATCAGTGTCTTCTCCAGGGAGTCTTCTCTTCTCATGAGGTGGCCAAAGTACTGGAGCCTCAGCTTCAGGATCTGTCCTTTCAGTGAGCACTCAGGGCTGATTTCCTTCAGAATGGAGAGGTTTGATCTTCTTGCAGTCCATGGGACTCTCCAGAGTCTCCTCCAGCACCATAATTCAAAAGCATCCATTCTTTGCCAATCAGCCTTCTTTATGGTCCAGCTCTCACTTCCATACATCACTACTGGGAAAACCATAGCTTTTACTATATGGATCTTTGTTGGCAAGGTGATGTCTCTGCTTTTTAAGATGCTGTCTAGGTTTGTCATTGCCATTCAATATGTAGCGAGTTTTAAATTGATGTAAATCTGCCCTGGGACCTGATGTTGAAGAAGGGCAGGTAATAAACGAACCAACAGGAAAGCTCAGTTCGTTAGAGCGTGGTGCTGATAACGCCAAGATTGTAGGTTTGATCCCTGTTTGGGACATCCGCATATTCCTGCATTTCAAGGGGTTGGAATAGATGATTCTAGCCCCTTCCAACTCTGAAATTCTATGCTTCTGTGAGTGTCTGGAGGCTGTTGGAGGATGGATGGCGGCTAACAGATTGTGGTTGAATCCTGACAAGACACAAGTACTGTTTCTGGGGGACAGGAGGCGGGCAGGTGTGGAGGACTCCCTGCTCCTGAATGGGGCAGCTGTGCCCCTGAAGGACCAGGTGCGCAGCCTGGGAGTCATTTTGGACTCACAGCTGTCCATGGAGGCGCAGGTCAATTCTGTTTCCAGGGCAGCTGTATACCAGTTCCATCTGGTACGCAGGATGAGACCCTACCTGCCCACAGACTGTCTCGCCAGAGTGGTGCATGCTCTGCTTATCTCCCACTTGGACTACTGCAATGCGCTCTACGTGGGGCTACCTTTGAAGGTGACCCAGAAACTACAACTAATCCAGAATGCAGCAGCTAGACTGGTGACTGGGAGCGGCCGCCGAGACCATATAACCCCGGTCTTGAAAGACCTACATTGGCTCTCAGTACGTTTCCGAGCACAATTCAAAGTGTTGGGGCTGACCTTTAAAGCCCTAAACAGCCTCGGTCCTGTATACCTGAAGGAGCGTCTCCTCCCCCATCGTTTTGCCCGGACACTGAGATCCAGCGCCAAGGGCCTTCTGGCGGTTCCCTCATTGCGAGAAGCCAAGTTACAGGGAACCAGGCAGAGGGCCTTCTTGGTGGTGGCGCCCGCCCTGTGGAACGCCCTCCCATCAAATGTCAAAGAGATAAACAACTACCAGACTTTTAGAAGACATCTGAAGGCAGCCCTGTTTAGAAAAGCTTTTAATGTTTGATGCATTACGGTATTTTAATATTTTGTTGGAAGCCAACCAGAGTGGCTGGAGAAACCCAGCCAGATGGGCGGGGTATAAACAATAAATTATTATTATTATTATTATTATTATTATTATTATTATTCTATGAAGTAGTAGTCACAATAATACTCAGCCGCCTCAATCTCCCGCAAGTGAGTTTTTCAACCTGTCTCCCTCCCCTCCCACAGGTCCGTGCTTACGTCGGCGCCTTTGCCCCGGATTTCGACGAGAAGGCGGACCTCACGGCCCTGCGCTTCTTCTCCGTGAACTCCATCGTGGACCCCTGGGTCTTCATTATTTTCCGGACGTCCCTCTTCCGCAGTTGCCTCCGCCGGTTTTCGAGGAGGCTGAGCTCGAAAAGGTCCACAGACTCTCAGCTGCTAGAAACTTGGGAGCGGAAAGGATCCGATCGTCTGCAGTGAGGCATTTCTGCCTTCTCTGAGGAGCTGGTACTGGAGGGGGTCCAGCTGGACTTCCCCCACCCCCCATCCCGGCCCTGTAAATCATCCATAGTCCAAGGAACAGGCCGAAGTGCTTGCAAGCAAACATTTTCCCTGATCAGAAAGAAGCGGCTCACTTAAGGTGCACAGTTAACCTCTGGAACTCATGCCCACTGGAGATAGCAATGACCACAAGCCTGGGTGACTTTGAAAGAAGACTGGACAAATTCGTGGAAGAGAGGGCTGGCAATGGCTACTAGCTAGGATACCTAGGCTCTGCCTCCACTGCAATGCTTCAGAATAACAGTTGCTGGAAACCGCAGGAAGGTCTTGTGTTCGAATCCTGATTATCGGATTCCCATTGGGGCGTCTGGTTGGCCAATGTAAGAACCAGACGCTTGCGGGAATAGATGGGCCATTGGCCTAATCCAGCGGGGTCTTCTTGGGTTTTTAATGTAGAAACTGCACCACCATTCATGGTTTCTGCTCTTTAAGATAGGTGAGAAATCCAAGAAGCAGTCACCAAATTTGGGAGGGACACGGACATTGCACCCCCAACTGATCAAAGGTACTAGACGGTTTGCGTACTGCCTGCCGGTATCAGCCACTTGTGGGCAGGCCTGAAAAGTTAAAGAAGGAGAAGTCCGCTCTCTCCCAGCTTGCAAGGACTTTCCTGCCAGGTCTCCTGGAGGCCATGGTTGCTCGCCAGTGGTGACCAGGCAAGTTGGCGGGCCTGATAGGAGAATCGCATAGCCACGTGGATATGTGCTGCTGTCTCAAAAGGGCAAATTCCCCTCGTATTTCTGCCCACAGGCCAGCGAGGCGACAGGAATCCGGAATGACCACCTTGATCATTCCCAGCAGAGCGGATGTGCGGCTGTCATTGGAGCAGCGTGTACCGTATTTTTTTGCTCCATAAGACGCACCTAGTTTTTAGAGGAGGAAAACAAGAAAAAAAATTATTCTGAACGAAACAGTGGATGTATGATTTTTGTGGTTCATTCTGTAGCCACAGACATGTGATCTGATGGTGAATGTGGGGTGACCCAATGTAAAAATCCTGAGGATCCATGGGCTTTTATCTTCCCCCTCCCAGACAGCCTCCTTTATCACTAGTGTCCCTTATCTCCCTCCCAATCGCTTACCGATCAGCGGCTTTGTTTCAACTCCCACTTCCCTCTTTCCAAAAAAAAAAAAGTATGATCTGCTTTTCGCCCCTGGGCAATTCGGCTCCAGGGCCCACGCATTTGCTCCATAAGATGCACAGACATTTCCCCTTACTTTTTAGGAAGAAAAAAGTGTGTCTTATGGAGCAAAAAATACGGTACATTCCTAGTTACTCCTATCTCGAATTAGGAGACTGTGGAGCTGGGATGGGGGCAGAAACAGGCAGACAAAATGACCAGGGATAAAAAGGATACACTTGATTTACCTTTTCTTGAAGGGGAGGGACAGTGGAGTTGATCTGCCCTCAGCTAAATCCTCCTTTCTGCGTTTAAATCAGGAATCTGTTCCTCAGAAGACCCCCCCCCCCCGGGTTTATACATGAATGGTGCAGATGTCATCAAGCCAATGTTGGCTTTCGTCCAGCAAATCATTAGCTTGCATGGTGGGGGGTTGGACTAGATGACCCAGGGGTCCCCTTCCAATTCTACAGTTCCGATTCTATGAATCGTGGGCGCTGCTGGGGAAGCTACGGAATGGTGAGCATCAGTCAGGCCGGGACTGAGAAAGGACAACTGAAACCATCAAAGGGGTTGGAGCCCTTGACAAAAAGCTTGGAAATAAAACTTCACGACGGCATCATGTCGTTCTGCAATATTGGGGCGTATCCAGTTGTGCGTCGTTTGAGGGGCGAGGCCTCCCTGGAGGTGCCCCTTGTTCCGTTCCGGCCAAGCTCCAAAGAAACCTGTTTGTGTTTGCCGATTGGTTGGTCCTTCTAGCAATCACAAACACACCCCCTCCCAGGAGCAGTTTTTCACCTGGGGAAGACCGGTTGGTTTGCTTTAGCTGGCCAAACAAATGTTTAGTCTGAGACATCTGCCAAGCGCCCGATATTTTTATTTTTAATATTTTTTATTTATTTTCCATTTAATAATATACATTCACATCATCATTATCTACTTTCCCACCCTGGCTCTTTAGAGCCTGTCAACTTCCTTCCCTCATGGCTTTCAAAATTAACCTTTGTTGTTGTTTAGTCGTTTAGTCGTGTCCGACTCTTCGTGACCCCATGGACCAGAGCACGCCAGGCACTTCTGTCCTCCACTGCCTCCCGCAGTTTGATCAGATTCATGCTGGTAGCTTCAAGAACACCATCCAACCATCTCGTCCTCTGTCGCCCCCTTCTCCTTGTGCCCTCCATCTTTCCCAGCATCAGTGTCTTCTCCAGGGAGTCTTCTCTTCTCATGAGGTGGCCAAAGTACTGGAGCCTCAGCTTCAGGATCTGTCCTACCAGTGAGCACTCAGGGCTGATTTCCTTCAGAATGGATAGGTCTGATCTTCTTGCAGTCCATGGGACTCTCCAGAGTCTCCTCCAGCACCAGAATTCAAAAGCATCAATTCTTCGGCGATCAGCCTTCTTTATGGTCCAGCTCTCACTTCCATACATCACTACTGGGAAAACCATGGCTTTAACTATACGGACCTTTGTTGGCAAGGTGACGTCTCTACTTCTCAAGATGCTGTCTAGGCCTGTCATTGCCCTTCTCCCAAGAAGGAGGCGTCTTTTAATTTCGTGGCTGCTGTCACCATCTGCAGTGATCAAAAACCACCTGGAGGAGGAACCGGCAAGCCACTCCAGTATCCTTGCCAAGAAAACTCCATGGACAAAGACAACAGGCATATAAAATTAACCTTTATATCGTTGCAATTTGTACGTTTTCCAATTCTAACGAGACTCGTTACAAAACAACTCAAAATTTAAATAAATATCGAAAGGTAGAAATTTTCTCATTACAAGACTTCAGACAACCCTGCTAGGGATGTTAATTGCTTACAATAATCTTTCAGATATCGTATAAATTTACTCCAGTCCTTTTGGAATACTTGATTATGTTGGTTTCGGATTTTTCCTGTCAGTTTCGCCAGTTCTGCAAAGTCCATCATCTTCATCTGCCACTCTTCTTTCGTTGGGCTAAAGGAATTCTTGTTGCAGTTGTGGCATACATAAAGAGTCTTTTAACTTCCCTTGGTATATCTTTGCCCACTATACCCAATAAAAAGGCATCTGGTTTTTTAACAAAAGTATTTTAAAACATTTTATTTAAGTCAATATATATCATTTCCTAGAAAGCCTTTACCTCATTACAAGTCCACCACATGTGGTAGAAGATACCTTCCCTTTCTTTACATTTCCAGTGCTCTTAAAGAGAATGTTATGAAAATGATGTATAGATGGTACTTAGGTAAAGGTAAAGGGACCCCTGACCATTAGGTCCAGTCGTGGCCGACTCAGGGGTTGCAGCGCTCATCTCGTTTTATTGGCCGAGGGAGCCGGCGTACAGCTTCCAGGTCATGTGGCCAGCATGACTAAGCCGCTTCTGGCAAACCAGAACAGCGCACGGAAACGCCGTTTACCTTCCCGCCAGAGTGGTACCTATTTATCTACTTGCACTTTTACGTGCAGGGACGCAGGTGGCGCTGTGGGTTAAAGCCTCAGCACCTAGGACTTGCCGATCGAAAGGTCGGCGGTTCGAATCCCTGCGGCGGGGTGCGCTCCTGTCGTTCGGTCCCAGCGCCTGCCAACCTAGCAGTTCGAAAGCACCCCCGGGTTCAAGTAGATAAATAGGGACCGCTTACTAGCGGGAAGGTAAACGGCGTTCCATGTGCTGCGCTGGCTCACCAGATGCAGCGATGTCACGCTGGCCACGTGACCCGGAAGTGTCTCCGGACAGCACTGGCTCCCGGGCCATAGAGTGAGATGAGCGCACAACCCTAGAGTCTGGCAAGACTGGCCCGTACAGGCAGGGGTACCTTTACCTTTACCTTTTTACTTTTACGTGCTTTCAAACTGCTAGGTTGGCAGGAGCAGGGACCGAGCAACAGGAGCTCACCCTGTTGCGGGGATTCGAACCGCCAACCTTCCGATCAGCAAGTCCTAGGTTCTGTGGTTAAACCCACAGCACCAACCGCGTCTCGAGATGATACTTAACACCAGCTAAATTGGCTAAAATGTTCAAGACAAGAACCAACGACTGTTAGAAATGCAAGCGCATGGTTTTTCATCCAGACGCAGAAAGGCTGGAAGATTCAGACTTGAGTCAGGGCGAGCTTTGGAGGGGAAAGTGTGTGGGTGCCACCTGAAAAGCAAAATGAGGAGAAGTCCATGCTTACCCAGGAGCAGGAGGGAAAGGCCCTGATTCCCTCTTTGCAGGTATGCCTGTAAGCACCTCTGGAGTAGGGCGGTGTTTGCGCCACCAGCTTAAAACACAGCTAGCTTGTTCAGTTTCTCAATTTAGATCAAAGCTGGCTTGGGGGGGACGACGCATCAAAGTGCAGAATTTTGTAAGGAAGGAAAAGATATATGCGGATCATGGCCACTGTGGCGGGAACACCATTTCCCAAACCAGCCGTGGGAATGCCCTGGATGCAGAGTAAACAGGAGTTGTGGACACAATCCGAGTGTGAATCTGTGAGAACAGATGGAGCAGAGTTTGAAAAGGGCTACTTGAGAGGAACATCTTCCTCACAGAACTGTAGGGAACCCGATCCCCCTCCTTCACGGCTGTCAGCCAGAAATGGGAAAACAAGACGTTCTTCCCATGGTATTTTATTCAATTTTTTTGGGGGGGGGGAATGTTGGCACCTCTCAGGTAATGGCTTTGCTCCTAGTAAAGTCCCACCCCCTCTGTCTCTCCTATTCAGTGCTGGATTTACGTATAAGCTAAACAAGCTACAGTGGCACCTCGGGTTACAGACGCTTCAGGTTACAGACTCCGCTAACCCAGAAAGAGTGCTTTAGGTTAAGAACTTTGCTTCAGGATGAGAACAGAAATTGTGCTCCAGCAGCGCAGCAGCAGCGGGAGGCCCCATTAGCTAAAGTGGTGCTTCAGGTTAAGAACAGTTTCAGGTTAAGAACGGACCTCCGGAATGAATTAAGTATGTAACCAGAGATACCACTGTATAGCTTAGGGCCCCACTCTCTTGAGGCCCCCCCAAAAAAAAATCAAAGGGAAAAAACTGGATGTACATTTCCAAAATATAAAATAAAATAAAACCTACATACAGCAACAGTGTTTTGTGTTGTGTAGGCTCCTGTGATGGAAGTCATGGGCCCCGC